ATCTCTTTTAGGAAAGCATTCCTCTATTTTCAGCTTCGTTCTCCGTGGGCCATTTATTTGCAATCTGGAGCCATTGAGTAACTAGAGGTTACAGGAAGAATCTGCCCTATCACAGTGTCTGCCTCAAAAAGAAAAACTTTCAAGACAAACAAACCCATTTTCTTAAATGGGTAAAAGAGAGAAACAAGTATTTCCCTAAGCAGATGGGTGGGGATGGGGGGTGAAGAATGGTCACATAAATTCAACCTCATAGATAATCAGGAAAATGCAAATTAAAAACAAGACACCATTTCACATCCCATCAGATTAGCAAAATTTTGTAGTCTGACAATACTTTTTAATAAAAGTATTTCCTTTTTTTAAAAAAAAATATATATTTTATTGATTTTTTTTTACAGAGAGGAAGAGAGATAGAGAGTTAGAAACATCAATCAGCTTCCTCCTGTACAACCCCACCACCACCACCCTGGGGATGTGCCTGCAACCAAGGTACATGCCCTTGACCGGAATCGAACCCGGGACCTTTCAGTCTGCAGACCGACACTCTATCCACTGAGCCAAACCGGTTTTGGTAAGAATATTTTATCATTAAACTCAATTTTGTTAATACCCAAACTATCTACACGGGGGAGGGGTGGAGGCAGGGGATAAAACATATGCCCCTTTCTCCTTAAAAGTATATATATATATATATATATGTGTGTGTGTGTGTGTGTGTGTGTGTGTGTGTGTGTTTTTAAAAAGGGGGTAAAAGAAAGGCACTGACTCTGCAAAAAGCAGTCATCACTCTATTCTTTCAGATTATTCTAAATTTAGGGGGAACTCTATGGCTCAGAAAACCTCTGGTGACTAAGCTGGCCTCCAGCCTTGGCATGGCCAACCGCCCCGATCCTGGCTGGCTCTGTCCGGAGGCAGAATTACACATTTGCACATGGTTAAACCGTTTCGTCACTGAAGCAGATTTAAACTGGCTTGGAAAGAAGGAAAAGAAAACATTCGGTGCATTCCACATGTTCCCCGAAGTATATTGCGCCGTCCAGTCATGCTGCACTGTGCATTCCTCCGAACTCCACAGCACTGCTTACGTGGTGCACATAAATCACTGCACCCCTGAAACAGAGCTGTCTCCTGCGGTGGAAGAAGGGGTGACGCTGGGGGGGACCCCTCCCCGCTCAGCAGGACTCCACGGCAATTTGGAGGGACCCACGCTGCCTTGAGGCTGGAAAGTTTGCGAGGTTCTCTTCCTTTCTGCTACCTATCCACCACAATCTTCGGGTGAAACGCTCTTGTTTAAAAGCTGGTGAAGTCTACCTTCTGACCACAAGATCCACCTCAGCAGCTGCAGCGGGTGTGAACTGCAGGACCTCAAGCGCGGGAAGCAGCATCAAAAAGGATCAGTGAAGAGAGCAACTGAGAGGTTGATATACGCATGGGGGTGAATAAGCTCCTTTTTTACCTAAGCATTCACCTGGGGACGCGTGAAACGCACAGACGGACTGGATTGACAACAAAGCTGTTGACACATCACAGACGCTGGGCTAGCCAGAGCCTGGGCCTGCGTTCTAGACGCTTCCCCTGGAAAGGAGCGGCGCGAGGGAGGGGCGGGCCTGGGGAGGGAAAGGGCGGGGCGGGCCGCGGGGAAGGGGCGGGGCCTTGAAAGGGCAGGGCAGGGCAGGCCGCGGGGAAGGGGCGGGGCCTGGGAGGGCGGGGCCTTGAAAGGGAAGGGCAGGGCAGGCCGCGGGGGAAGGGGCGGGGCCTGGGAAGGCGGGACCTCGCGGGGCACTTCTGAGCCCGCGCGCCCGCCCGCTGCCGGGAGGCGGAGCGGAGGAGCCGGCCGGGGCCTCGGAGGCTTTGGCGGGCGGGCGGGCGGGCGGGCGGCCCTGGGCCGGGCCTGTCCGGGCCTCCACACTGCGCTCTGTCTGCCGTGCCAGCCTAGGCCTCTGAGGCTCTAGGTAACCTCCCAGCCCCGCCAACACACACACCCAGGAAGGCTCACGCTCACACACACACTCACACTGTCACACACACCCAGACACGCTCACACACACACTCACACTGTCACACACACAGACAGACACACACTCACACTGTCACACACACCCAGACACACACTGTCACACACACACACACACTGTCACACACACACACTGTCACACACACACACACACACACACACACCCAGACACACACATACACACTCACACTGTTACACACACACAGACACACACACTGTCACACACACCCAGACACACACACACACACACACAGTCACACACACCCAGACACACACATACACACACTGTCACACACACACACACACAGACACACACACACACACACTGCCACACACACACCCAGACACGCTCACACACACACACTCACACTGTCACACACACACACACACTGTCACACACACCCAGACACACACACACACACTCACACTGTCACACACACAGACACACACACTGTCACACACACACACACTGTCACACACACCCAGACACACACATACACACTCACACTGTCACACACACACACACAGACACACACACACACACTGCCACACACACCCAGACACGCTCACACACACACACACACACACTTACACTCACACTTATACTCTCACACTCACACATACTCATACACACACACATACTGTCACACACTGTCACACACACACTCATACACACACACACACACTGTCACACACACACCCAGACACACACACACTTATACTCACACACTCACACTTACACACACACACATACTCTCACACACTCACGCACACACTTATACTCTCTCACACACACACACACACACACACACACACTCACACTCACATACACACACTCACACACATTTATACTCTCACACTCACACATACACACACACTCACTCACATACACACTTATACTCACACACACGCACACACCCAGACACTCACACTCACACACACACATACTCACACACACATACACACACACACTCACGCACACATTTATACTCACACACACTGTCACACACACCCAGACACTCTCACACTCACATACACTCACACACACACACACACTTATACACACACCCAGTCTCTCACAAACACACTTATACTCACACACTCACATACACTCACACTCACATACACACACACCCAGACACTCACACACTCACACACACACACACTTATACACACACCCACTCTCTCACACACACACTTATACTCACACACTCACATACACACACACACATTAACACTCATACACACACGCACGCGCACACACATTCACACACTCACACTTGCACATTCATACACCCAGACACGCTCACACACACGCACACTCACACACACACGCACACTCACACACACTCACACACACACACACTCACACACACACACACACACACGCACTCTCACACAGACCCATCAGTGGGATTGCTAATAGGGGAAAGGACTGGGGGCGGGGAGGGGAAGGCCTGGCTCTGGCACAGCAGCCGGAGCAGAGGCTCCCCCAGCGGGGCCTAAGCGGCTCCTTCCTGGGGGCTGCTCCCCCAGCACTAAAGGGCCGCACCTAAGGGAACTATCGCCGACTTGCTTTCTGTGGGAGAACGAGGACCCTAATTTCAGGGCTGAATTCACCCATGGTGGCAGGGCCCGTCTAGGCAGCCCGCAGAGGGGGCCCGCTGCTCCTGGCTCAGGAAGGGGGTGTGTCTGCCCGCAGGGAGGGGAAGGGCTCAGCAGGCCCCGCTGGGAACAGGGGAGGCACGCAGACCCGCTGCTGGGGAGCATTTCCACCCCAGGCTCCAGCGCCCTGTACATTGGCAGTGACTTCACCCCGGCCCCCCTCCTCATCTGAGGGCGCCGCCTCCAGGACCCAGCCCACCCCGACTGAATGCTTTGGGGGAAACGTGTGATGTTGTTGCTGATACGTAGTCTGGCTGTGTCTGTACTGAACGTGTGCAGGCCTTTTACTTACTGTCACCATTCCCTGAACAACACGGCATACCAACTATTAATAGTATTTACATTGTGTTAGGTATTTTTTAGGGACACACACACACACACACACACACACCCCCAGTCCGCAGGCAGACGTTCTATCCACTGAGCCAAAAACGGTTTCAGCGTGTTAGGCATTCTTATAGGTAGTCTAGACACGATTTAAAGTCTAGATTACGTGCAACTGCTACACTTTTCATACAAGGGACTTGAGCCTCCTTGGACTTTGCTATTCAAGGGGCCTGCAGCCAACCCCCCAAGGATACCGAGGGCCCACTGCCATTTTCATTTCCTTCTCCTGCCTTCTTCCTCTTCCCTCTGCCCCCTTCTCCTCCACGGTAGACTCTGGAGAGCTGGAGAGGAGGATCGGAGCTGTGAGCAGAGGAAACCCGGCCCAGACTTCTCTCCTCCCGCCAAGGTAATGTGGTAGCAGAACCAGCTCGGTCGGGTCTGGACATGCTTTTCTCTTTGGCAGCTCACAGACTTTTTTTTTTTTTTTTCCTTCCACTTTAACTTCAGTGATCTTTGGTGCCCCTGAAGGTAAATAACACACCTGAATCATAAAGCTGCAGATGCGTGGAGTTCAAAGTTTTATTTTCTACTTTTAAAGCCCTCCATAAATTACGGCCAAGGTGGTTTGGAATCCAGCCTCCTGCCCCGGCGTTCCTCTGGGATTATGGAGGTTGGCTGAGCAAGCTGCTCTTGAGAAACCAGGTGTAACAAGACCTGGGTGGAGGGGTTCCGGGTTGTTTGTGGAGCTTTCTCCACCTCTGTGCCAGAGTCTCTCTGGGGCAACCCCGCAAGGTGGCTGCAGCTACAGCCACTGGTGGGAACCTGCCTTTGTTATGCAAGTCGAAGAGCACACAGTGTCCCAGCCTCCCATTCCCAGCTAGCCCCGGAAGCAGGAGAGGGGTCAATGGGAATTCTGGGCAGTAGGCTTAGGATACCTCCTCACTCTCCCCACCCCCTTAGCTCCACCCCAGCCCCTTTAGAAGCCCAGCTAGTTCATAGTCAAGGACAGGTGAGGCTTCAGAGCTCTGCCACCAACTTCAACAGGGTCATTAGGATTAAAGTGATAAAGTCAATTTTTACTTTCTGCACGAATCTAAGTTGATCCAAAGAAAGCAATTAATTCTTTTTTTTGTTCTCTGTTTCCCTTATCCTTATGTGGAATCATATTTTGTCCCAGCTCCCTACTGGTTTGTTGTTGTTGTTGTTTTTCATTTCCAACAAAAGAGTTGTTTCTTTCAAAGACTCAAAAAAATCTCAGTATCAGGGATGGTCAGCAATTCCTGGCTTTTCTCTGAACCTGTCTGCTGGAAATTTGCTGCTGTGGCAACTACCAGGCTTTTGAATCTGGCTGCAAAGATGCCATTTGGTGCCGTTTTCCAGGTTGTGTGGTTTCCCCAGGGAGAATTCGGAGATCCTGGGACATGTGTGTATGTCGGACAGGAAAGGGACTTAGAACAACAGAAGGAAGGTAGCTCCCAGTGGCTTCGCTTCAGAACCCTGGGATGGCCCCACAACCACACCAAAATCCTGCTCTGGAAGGTCTGCCCACTCACATCAGGTTCCCCACAGCAACAACAAAAGTGGGTGGGAGTGAGCACTGTGGCAAGCTCAGCCCCGCTGGAATGAGCCTGTGGAGTTGATTAATGCTGGCCTTTTCCCTAAAGTGGGACTTGGGAAAAACAGGCTGGATGCTGCAGGAAGGAAAAAAAGAGAAAGCGAACCACTTATAAAGGAAATCCTCACCCTCCTTTGTGCGGGGAGCCAGACCTACTGGAAGTCAGATCCAAGAGGTACACAAGCTCGAATTGATGAGGGTGTCATGCTGTCAGCTCCATGGGGTTTGGAAAGAGCTGAGAAATGACTCCATTCCGTTTGACTCTCCTGGACATTCCGCGGTGATCTTCATGTGACATCAGCTGCCTCTCGGCCTGCTGTGATTTACTGGTGGGTGTTCTGCATAGGAAAGGACTCCTTTATACTTTCTTCCAATACAGTGGTCATGTTTATAACACTTTATCTCAGTGGTCCCCACAGCATTTTATGGAGGAATCTAAATCCATTACTACGGGGGAAATGCAGACATTGAAGGGACCTGAAATGAGAAAATCCTTTGGCTGAAATAATCTATCCTTTATTTCACAAAGTCACTCAGTGTCATAGAGTCTGTCTGGGTGGTAAATAGATTCAAAGTCCTGGGGGAAATGACTCAAAGATTATATTGTGTTTTTACTATCTTGTTATGTTCTCTGAGTGAATTTACAAAGTCAATGATATTCAAAGCAGGGTAGTCTTTTACTTACAAATCAACATTGACATGTGTCCTTAAAACATAAAATTAAAAACCAACTCTTAATTCCTTACATTATGGAACAAGGAGGAATTTGTTCTTACCAGCAGACCAAAACGGCCACTCAGAGAGGAAGAGATATAATAGATGAATGGGACCGAAGGGGAAGTAGGGGGGATTAATCTAAGTTACTGATTTTCTTTTCTCAAAAATCTTCCTGGCAAAGATTAAATTGCACCAAATATCGATCAAATATATGATAATAAGACTCTCAAACTTGTTTCATTACAACTGTCTAAACATGATTTTTCCATTTAGCAGCCTATCCATCCAGAATTCTGATTATGCTACAACTTAGGCTATCCCTTGAATCAAATATTAATATTTGTACAGTGATTACAATAGTTGATGATTTGTGCAGGGACTCTAAAGTTAAATAGTATGTCATTGATAGCCTCAGACAAGACTACAAATGGAAAATTATTTTCTAACCTTTGTTGTTGTTTTGCTGGGAAAAAACTTGTAAGATGATCTATTCGAAGTGATATTAGAATAACAAAATACTTCTTTAAAGTGATCTATTTAAGCAAAACATTTTACATTATATAGTGCAATGCCTTTCAGACTGTATTTATCCAAGGAATCTTTTCCAAACAAAATATGAAATAGAAGCCAAATAAATAAAACAGGTAAAAAGCAAGGTGCTAAGGAGACAGAGGAGGAATGGATTTCATTCCTGGAATCCTCACAAGGGCCACTGAAGGTCCACCTTTGAGGAACACGGGTTTTAGGAAGTGTGAAGACTTACTAAAAGGAAAATAAAAGGCACTATTTGAGATGACATTCCTTGCAACTGTATGTATATATGTGTTTGTGAAATATCATTCAATTAATATCTGCTTCCTATCTTTATCATTTTTGTTCTGAAGCTGTAACTTTGGTTGCACTTTATGATAGCACAGATGGATTCTATGCCTATGAGTTTCAAATTCTAAGTTTTTGTGTATTTTTTATTCTAACAGTTCAGCAAAGGCCAGAGGGCATGTTAGGTCAACATACGTGTGACCTCAATGAATTATTCAGATAAATATTTCTATCTTGTAGAATAACAGTAACATCTCATGAAATGATTTTCAAATTATGATTAGAACCTTAGAGAATATGTCATCCAAAAAACCAGATTTTTTATTTTATTTTATTTTTTCAGTTGAGAACACAGACGTCCTAGAAGTTGAGGAACTTCCCCAAGATGAGAGGGGTGCATTCCAGAATACAGTTTCATGTCCCCGAGTCCATGCTTTTTCCAGGACTTTCTGCATCACATCATATAAATGAACATGAAATTCTTACAACGTGTGAGTATCAAAATGAACTATTGACTGAAATCAGTTCAGTATCTCTGCGTTTCTTTAGACTAGGGGTGTCGAACTCAATCAGAGAAGGGGCCAAAATCTAAAATCCAGCCTAAATCGCGGGCCGAATGGTTTACTGAACAGTCATAAACTGTCATTGTGATGGAAACGCAGCGGAGTGCAGTGATGACAGCGCGGTGCGGGCCACATTGCAAGGCCTGGCAGGACGGATTTGGCCCGCGGGCCTTGTGTTTGACACATGTGCTTTAGACTAACCCAGCCTGGTCCATGTTTCAGTCATAGTCAAGACACACGGCTTGTGTTAGATCAAAGATCTTTGAAGCATCCTTAAGCAACACATGCCCCTGCAAAGGGATGGCCGGCAGTCATACAGGGAGGCACAGAATACTAAGCACACAGAGCAGTCACGCTTTCTTTGGGAAGCGGTGGTAGCATCAGCTTACCTGGAGACAACGTTGGGACTGTGAGGCTGAGACGGGAAGGCTGATGCTCAGTGTAGAGGGGTCTGATCTCCACCTCTGAGAGCTCCTTTCTTTCACACCTAACTCTGTGAGCAGGGGGTAGGAAGAGGTTAGCCCAGAGCAGTGGTCAGCAAACTCATTAGCCAACTGAGCCAAATTTATCAATGGTACAACGATTGAAATTTCTTTGGAGAGCCAAATATTTTAAACTTAAACTTCTTCTAACGCCACTTCTTCAAAATAGACTCGCCCAGGCCATGGTATTTTGTGGAAGAGCCACACACAAGGGGCCAAAGAGCCGCATGTGGCTCGCGAGCCGCAGTTTGCCCTCCACTGGCCCAGAGCATTCAATCTGGGGCTGGGTACAGAGCCCTGCCAGTTTGGCCTGTCTTCCTATATGTCATCAAAAATAAGGGAGGGTTCCTGTGATTTTTAACTGGGTTTCCGTGTATTTGTGCATACGCAACATGCATTTTCAAATTACGTAATTGGACACTATATTTCTTTAAACCTGCTATCCTTTGCTTCCGGTTAAGTTGGAATTGTTTAAGTTCCTTTTGAGCTTTCAAGAGAAATAATAGAGAAGGCTTTGCTATGAACCAAATTAATACACTAGCTTCCATTTTGGGGTTTTTGACAGCTTTGTTTCTGTGGGGGAATACAAGCTTCTTAATGTTGGCCGCTGTGGGCCTCATCTATATAACGACATTACATGCATTTCAGTGTTTGTAAATGCATGTATTAGAGTAAGCAACCACAGCTGACTTCAGTGAGGCAGGCTGACAAAGAGTGAGTCTGCAGGTGAGGTCGCTCGGCCCCGTGCATTGACAGTGACCTGTAACAAGTCTCCAGTTGGGAGATTCACTCTAAGCAGCTTACATGTTGTTTAGCGTAGTTTGGCAAATGGGGGATAATTGTCTTTGTAAAAGCATCAGGGGTACGCGGGGCGATGCTAATGCTTGTCATCCACTTTATTACATTGTCCAGGGTGGCTGTGACTTTTAAATTATATGCTCTCTATGGTGTTTAAGGTCTCCTCAGAACAAAGCTAAAAGGAAAAACAGAAATGCTCATTACTTATTACATAATTCTTGCTCACCCTACCTCACAAGATTGGTGTGAAAACAAGTACATTTGAAAATTGTAAGGGACATGGCAAACTGTGAAGCATTATTCACATTTGCTGATATCGATACATGTTTGAAGTACATTTCAGCATTGAAAAGTTCAGGTGACTACCTTGACCCATTCCTATAAAAATATGTGACACTGTTTTGTTTTGTTTTTCTTTAACAGCTTTATTAAAGTACTAGAGGCCCGATGCACAAAATTTGTGCAAAGGGCTCGGCCCTCGGAGCCATGGTGGCTTGCCTCGGCTCTTGCAGCCTTGGCTTCATCCAGAAGGTCATTCAGATGTCCAGTCTAATTAACAGATTACGCTTTTATTATTTATTATAGACTAGAGGTCCAGTACACAAAATTCGTGCACGGGGAGGATGGAATCCCCTCAGCCTGGCCTGCACCCTCTTGAAATTCAGGATCCCTTGGGGGAAGTCCTACTACCGGTTTAGACCTCATCCTGTAGGGATCCCTCTAAAATCTGGGACCACTGGCTCCTAACAGCTCACCTGCCTGTCTGCCTGATTGCCCTTAACCGCTCACCTGCCTGCCTGATTGCCCCTGACCACCTCTGCCTGACTTCCTGATTGCCCCTAACCCCTCTGCCTGCCTGCCTGCCTGCTTGATCGTACCTAACCACTCTGCTTGCCTGCCTGATTATCCATAACTGCCTCTTCCTTGGCTCCTGCTGCCAAGACTTTGTCTGGAAGGACATTCGGAATGATGTCCAGAAGGTCATTCAGCTATCTGGTCTAATTAGCATATTATGCTTTTATTATTATAGATAATTTACATACCATAAAATCCACTCATTGTAAGTATACATCTTACTGATTTTTAGTAAATGTATACAGTTGTGCAACCATCACTCGAATGCAGTCTTAGAACATTTTTCCTAACCCCCCACAGTTCCCTCACACCCATTTGCGTTAGTTCATCCTTTTTCTTGCTCCCAGCCCTAAGGAATCATTGATGTGTTTACTGTCTCTATAAAATTGCCTTTTAGGCTATTATGAATAATGCTGTTTTGAACATTCATCTACATATCTTTGTTTGGATATATGTTTTCATTTCTCTCGAGTAGATTCCTAGGAGTGACTTGTTGGGTTGATGATAAGTTTATGTTTAACTTTTTAGGAGAATGCAAATCTGTCAGAGTGGCTATATCACTTTATATGTCCATCAGCAACATATGAGGATTCTACTTTCTCCACATCCTGGCTAATACTGGCTAGTGTCTGTCTGTGGCTTTTCTAGTGGGTGTGCAGTAATATCTCATTGCAGTTCACTTTGCATTTCCCTAATGACAGTTTAAAGGAAAATAAGCCAGCCCCTGATTAAATGGTTAGATATTGCATGTTTCAAAACATTCTTGTAGCACACAGGTTGAAAATCACTGTTCTATGCTGTTATTTAACTTTTAGTCTGAATATATTTTTTATCCAAACTTGATTTTTTTTAAATGTATTGAGGTATAATTGACATGTAATATGAGTTTCTGATGTACAGTGTAATGATTTTATAGCTGTTTGTATATTGAAAAACAATCACCACAATAATTCTAGTTAACATCTAGCACTACACATAGTTACATGTGTGTGTGATAGATGTTAAGTTTTTGTGTGTGTGTGATTAAAACTTTTAAGACCCTCTCTTTTAGCAACTTTCAATATGCACCAAAGTATTATTATCTATACAATCAGGATATGATTATTTATTTTATACCTGGAAGTTTGTATTTTTTTTTACCCTTTCACTCATTTCACCTAATCCCACCTCCATGCCCTGCCTCTAGCAACTACTAATCTGTTATCTATATCCATGAACTTCTTTTTCTTTTTTCTTTTTAGATTTCACATGTAAGTGAGATCATAAAATATTTGTCTTCCTCTGTCTGACTTATTTTACTTAACATAATGCCCTTAAGGGCCATCATATTGTCACAAATAGCAAGATTTCCTCCTTTTTATAGCTGAATAATATTCCATTGTGTGTGTGTGTGTGTGTATATATATATATATATATATATATATATATATATATATTCTTTACTCATTTATCCATGGATGGACACTTTCTCTAAACTTGAATTTTAAACTCTCAAGGGGCAAGTCCTTTTAGCTTATTGATTTTTTTCTTTTTTTTTACATTACTAGGCCTTGCAAAGTACTCTAAAAATAGTGCATCCTCAATAAATATATGTTGCATACATGATAAAAATTTTACTGCTTTTATGTAAATATTTTCAGCACACCTGATATCATAATTTAGTAAGTCACATTGAATTTTGTACGTAAGAGGTTTCAGTTTTAAAACCATTTCAAAAGGGAGTGCTTCAGAGTATAAACTTGTACAAATAAATTTAATGATCAGAGAAAAGTGACTCTGAGAATAATATTTTATGGTAACTAATATGTTTAAATGAATTCAAATTTTTAGACTTTTATTTTTTGCAAATGTCCCTGAGTGCCTTAACAAAATAGTAAAACCATAGTTAATCACAAATGAATAATACTCTCAAATGTATCCATGAGTAAGGAGAAAGCAAACGAGTACTTCACATCAACATCAGGACTCTAGACTCAAAAGATTTAAATTTGTAAATGTAAATTTATACATATGTGGAAGCCTGGATGTAAAACAAAAACAACTTTCCCTATAACTAGTAAATAACAGGGGAAAAGAAAAAAACTTTTGAGCCTTGCCTGGAAGGGTGCCAAAGATATACACTTGAGAATATTTTAAGGTAATTAGCATTTTTGTCTCTATGTCAGTAAAAATAGGCCTTTGGCTGCTACTAATTTTCTTTGGGTTAGTGAGACCATTGTATGAATGAAGGGCTGTTAGAGGCCATTTATATTGTGCAAACATAGGCACAAATTAGAGAGGGCATGTTAATAAGGAGAGGGGGCTTATGAGTGCTCAATTATGAGCCCACAACCTGTTCCTATTTTAAGGGGATAGAAAACACATCAATCTTGCTTTTAGAATATTTTCAATTAAAATGAACAGCACATGGCAGACTAAGAACCAGCGAAAGCTGCGGCCGTGTGGGTCTTGAATAATTCTTACATACCATCTTAGAATCAACACGGATATGCGTATAATGGGCTGAAATATAATTTGGGATCCCAGGAGACCAAGGTCCCTGAGCTGCATGAGAAATCCTAAAGGAAAAGAAACATAAAACTGGGCCATCTGTTCCACTTTGCGGCATGCAACCTTTAGAGTAGACCTTTGGAGGAGGATGCTGCTTTAAATCCGAATAGGGATGAAATATAGTACATACACTCGCAACATATCACGAACTTCCTCTCTCCCAAGCATAATCAATAGCAGCCTCAAGCCTGGTTCCGCATGTGAAAAACAAAGCACAGTGTTAGCTGCACAGAACATTCACTTCTCCCCACGCGGATACAATAGTAGGTTCCTCCCAGGCCCCAGGATGCGCCTCCTGCCTAATTGGGCTGAGCAAAGGGAGGCATCCACTCTGCATAGGAGAGTGTTTGGGGAATCTCATTATGGGTTACATACACAACTCTCCGCATAAGTCTGGTTTGCCCCTCCTTTAGCCAGGACTTCCAATTGCCTAATGTCATGTTTTTTTGTGTTGGGCTAATGAACACATTTCAAGATATCGCCCCCCAAGCTACCTTCCCCCTATATGAATGGCTATTATAGAATTATAGCTAACCAAGTTGCCGGTGTTCACATAATGTTCTTAAAGTGGAAAAGCACTAAATAAAACAGTGAAGGATAGCAGGCATGAATGTGTTTGGTCTCAAGATAGAGAAACCAATACTTCCAATGCTATTCAATAAGCCCAGTGCTGAACTTCTCAAACCATGATTGTATTGGATTTTTTACCTTTTTTTTTTTTTTTTTTTTTTTTCCAGGTGGTGCTAGTCCCTGCTCTTGAAACCTTTGTAACTATGAAGGCTGAAGTGCCATTTAAAGAAAAAAGAAGGCAAAGAAATGAGCTATGAGATGTCCCGGTGAGTGGTCTGTCAATGTATCCTTTCTTGAGTGTGTTGGGAAGCGGGCTTCAGGGTGCTGGGATCATAGGCTTTATTTTGAATCTGTCTGTTATAACCTGAAAGCTTTCTTCAAGGGAGATACACAGGGCTCGTGTCTATATACAAAGTCTGTTGCTATGGAAAGGTTTGTACTTAACCATATTACAGTGTTCTGTTAGGAGCAGGGAACCTGGGGTATCAGTTCATCTCTTTCAAAAGCCACATGTTTTTTGAGATAAAAGAAATTTAAAAAAAAACATGTACAGCACATATTTCTGCCATTAGAGAACAATTCTAAAGGCCTTTTTCACATTGTATATATCAAGAAACTATTCTATATTCAAAGATCCATAGTAGCTTCTTACTATAGAAGTTAGTTATATTGTAACTAGAGGCCTGGTGCATGAATTCATACATCAGGAGGGCGTCCCTTCAGCCCAGCCTGCATCCTCTCCAATCTGGGACATTCCTCTCACAATCCAGGCAGGACTCCTGACTCCTAACCGCTCATCTGCCTGCCAGCCTGATCACCCCTAACTACCCCAATGATGGCCCGGTAACTCTAATTACCCCCAGTGCTGGCTGGTCACCCCCTACTCCCCCCCCTGCTGGCCTGATCAACCCTAACTGCCCCCCTCTCCCCCCCGCAGCCGGCATGGTCACTCTCACCTGCCCCCCCCCCAACCCTTGCTGCTGGCCTGGTTGTCCCTAACTTCCCCAACCTCCCCCCATCCCCCTGCCAGCCTGGTCACCCCATGCAGCTGCTGTTTGGTCATTGTGTGAGGGCGTCCCAACCAATTTGCATATCATCCTTTTATTAATATAGATAGATGTCAATTACTTGCAGTATATTATCCAAGCTCCTCTGGTATTCCCACCTCTAAATTCACTTTCATATTGCATTTCTCATTCCCATCCAAATATCTGCTTTGGCTCAACAAGAGAGCTTTTCTTTTAGCATGTGCTCTGTTCTTGGTGAGCAATTCAACACAATAAGATTGTACTGCAAATGTTTGCTGCTGATACGTTCTCTGAAAAGGAAGGTTCGAGACTGCCCGAATCTTAAAACCTGGGCTGTTCTAGAAAAAATCAACAATTACTCAAGCAATCCAAAATGTGTCAGTTTTCACATTTTCCTTACATCAAAGTTGGTAAATTATAGCTTGTCTCATTTTAGAACAGTAATATATTGTACGGTGCTAACACCTACACTTGTAGGAAAACACGATGGTTCTGAGTGCAGACTCAGAAGTTTTGGGCCGGGGATCTAGCTATGCCGTTTGAAGCTTGTGCCATCGTGGGCAGGCCTCTTAACCTCTCTGTGCCTGTTTGCCCAGCTGTTAACGTTGGAATAAGAATTGTACCGATTCCAAAGGGTTGAACGGGAATTAAATGAGATAGTTCTGGTAAAGCACTTAGAATAGTGCCTGGCACAAAGTAGGGATGCAGTAAGTGTTGGTTGCTTACATTGTGGGTCTTCCTGCAGTTTTTAATCTTGCCTTTTTCCATAACTATGCAGCTGCTTCTTTTAACTCAGAAGAACTTTAAATGGTAGAACCTGGGCCAGTGTGGCTGGGTGTTTGAAAAATAGGTGGGTTGGGTGACTCTCCTGTGTCCCACAAATAACCCCTTTGAAAATGAGCTTTGCCCTGGCTGGCTGGCTCAGTGGGTTGGAGCATCATCCTGTGCCCAAAGCGTTGCAGATTCCATCCCTGGTCAGGGAATATACTTGGGTCTGGGTTCAGTCCCCGTCGAAGTGCATTAGGGAAGGCAACCAATGAATCTCTCTCTCCCTTCCCCCCTTGCTCTAGAGAGTAGGGGTGTCGAACTCAATCAGAGAAGGGGCCAAAATCTAAAATCCAGCCTAAATTGCGGGCCGAATGGTTTACTGAACAGTCATAAACTGTCATTGTGATGGAAATGCAGCGGAGTGCAGTGATGACAGCGCGGTGCGGGCCACATTGCAAGGCCTGGAGGGACGGATTTGGCCCGCGGGCCTTGTGTTTGACACATGTGCTCTAGAGAGTCAATTTTAAAAAAATGAATTCTCCCGTACTTGTGAGGACAGCTTTGCCTTTCAATAGAATAACTAGGATTCTATCTTTGTCCATTGTCCTGCTGAAAACTCCTTTTTGGTTTTAGATAATATAAATGTAAAAAGCGTTTGTCTGGATGTATATGTGTCACCTATGTCAACATATGTTTCCTTTATTAACAATCCTTGTATGTTATTTAATGTAGAAAGAGGTTTAAAATAACTGATCATTTATCCCAACGTATGCAAAGCTTTACCAGTATTGCAAGTACAAAAAATGTAGACATATAGAGAAAGACAAAGAGCTCATTTTGTACATATCCAAACGGATGCCCGAGGTTTCAGCCCAGACCTGGAATTCATTGTCCAGTACTTGGCATTGATCCACAGCCAGGGAAAGCACTATGAGTAGGCCTGTTTTCTTTACTCAGAGCCTAATTTGGGACTGTCAAGTCAATTTGACTACAATTGAACGAAATTTTTGTTCTTTAAATGTTTGTTTTTCGCATTTCATTTATATGCTCTCTCTGGTAAGGTCAAATTCCTCTGTAAGTATTATTTAATTTATTCTCATAACTTCTCTGTGAGATAGAGAGCATTTGTCTTTATTATTAGCATCTGGTGTTGGAAGATTCACATTTACTTTGTTGGGAATCACCAGGAATAAATCTCATGTAGACACTAATGGGAGATATAATAGGAGATAAATATAGGTATATCTGTAAATGAAGTTATTTTCCCACCTTTGAAATCTGTTGACTAAAAAGATAAAAAATGGGACAACTTATGATGATTGAATAGTAATAAAAAGCAGCATTTAATCTCAATCTCTCCCTCTCATGATTACAGCATGCTAAATATTACTCAATACTGGAGTCGGCTGATGAGCTATGTAAATGTTTTCCAATAAATTAAATAGATTAGAATTGGAAAGAGAATGTTAATGTTTCTAAGGCATTTAAAGAATCTCCTCTAAACACCTTTTTAAAAAATACAATTGAAGTCTATGTCACCACTCACCAGTATGAGCATGGTGAGCACCAGTGTTTCCATGCAGATAGAATGGGCAGAGGCAGTCATCGTGTTGGAGAAGTCCCTGTCTTCTATGATCCCGTATTGTTAATTCTCTTCGTGTATTTTGCCTGCTGCTTTGTTTTGGTTGTCAAAGTGTGTTACTGAGACAAGACTAAGATCATCCTACTCTGACAGTCGCAGATTGAGTTGGCATGACGCACCATGAGGTGCGTCTAATTGCTGTTAATATTGGAAGGATGGATAATCCTATTAAAAAGAAGAAAAGTTATAAAAAAATAAAATAAATAGGTGGAGGCAAGTCTAGATTACATGAAAGAAAGACAGCTTGATGAGGGGAAACCCATTAACCTGAAAGGAAACAGTTCTTTGCTTCCAATTTAGCAGTTGTGAGCAAGACTGCACTCATATCAAATTGAAATGGAAACAATTTTTCTGATTCATTTGTAGATTTACATATTAGGTTTTCTTATATGTGGAAAAAGAGACCCTACTGTGATTCCTAATTATTAGTAGAATATCAAAATGCCACATTAGGTTTATAGGAAAACCTTTGTCTTGCTCCTGAGGTTTTACTAATGAGTCAAAAGAGGTGCTTGTCTCTTAGGTGGAGAGCACAATACTCTACACCAATGCTTCTCAAACTCGATGAGCATAGGCATCGCTTGGCGATCTTGACAAATTGCAGCTTCGATTTGGTAGTTTTGGGGTGGGACCCACATGCTACCCTGAAGAAGCCCCCAAGAGATGCCCATCCTGCTGGTTCAGCACAATTCTTGGAGAAGGCAGGCTCCAGGCAAATATTTTACAAAGAAGTCTGTACAAATGCAGCGTGACTTGCTTTGCCATCATTCCAGGAAATTAAATGGCATTGGGATAACAATATCCAAACCACTTGCTTTGCAAATGGGAATGAGAAGAATGAGCCAATTTAAAGTTTCAAGGACTCTTTTAAGGACAACTTGAATTATGGGTAAGGTTGAAGGTATAATGGAACAGTCTGGAAAGGCAGAAGGTCTCTTGGTTCCCATTGGAGGTTAGTTCATAGTTTCCTTCAATCCATCCCTTCCTTTGGTCAAAGTCATTAGATGGCTATTAGAAAAAAATGGAAATATTCTTTGTAAATAATAGACTTTACTGCTTGAACTCCTGTTGCCTTAGAAAGAGAGAGAGAGAGAGAGCATTATGCTTCTCCTATTTCATCCTCCCACAACCCAAGTTGTTAAGAGAATGTGGAATGCTGTGAGGATCTCACAGCAAGCACATTTTACCCATTTAGTCTGTGCCGGGACATGCTCTTTATTGGTTGTTACATTCAGTAAGATCATCTGACACTCCCAGCTTGAAGTCTGGTGTGGGCTCTTGCCATGACAAAGTACCATAACTGGGTGGCTTAAGTAATGGAATTTGTCTTCTCTTCTTGGAGACTGAAAGTCTAAGATCAAGGTATTGACAGTTATTTTCTCTTCTCTCCTTGATTTGCAGACGGCTTTCTTGATGCCTCTTCATATGGCCTTTTCTCTATGTTCATGTATCTTTGGTGTTTCTTCTACTTCTCATAAGTACACTAATCATATTGGATTAGGGCCCCACCTTTATGTCCTCATTTATGTTAGTTACTTTTTTATGTTTTTTTTTAATTGATCGGAGAGGAATGGAGAGAGAGAGAGAGAGAGAGAGAGAGAGAGAGAGAGAGAGAGAAAGAGAGAAGCATCAATGATGAGAAAGAATCATTGATGAGCTGCCTCCTGCATGCACCACACTGGGGATCAAGCCTATAATCTGGGCATGTGTCCTGACTGGGAATCAACCATTACCTCCTGGTTAATAGGTCGATGCTCAACCACTGAACCATGTTGCTGAGCTGTTAGTTATTTCTTTAAAAACCCTATGTACAAATATATTACATAAG